AATTTATTATATAATACTATAACTTCATTCACTATTATTTTATAATATTGTAAACTGTGAGGCTATTACATGATATATAACATAAAATATAATCTTCATTTATTGATTTTTAATGAATGAACAGTAAACAAAATTCATAGCTTTATGTAATCATAGAAATATTTAATTAATTGAAAAATAAAGTTTTCATTAGTTCTCATTTAATGAATGAATGGAGAACAGTAAATAATTTACAACTTTATAGTATTTACCCTTGTACTTTTGATCAAATAGAATTTATATATTCATACATAATTAATTAACTAGAAAATAGTATTATAATTCATTCACATTTAATGAATGAATGTTTAAAAGAAAATAATTTACAACTACACAGTTTTTCACTTGTACCTTAAATTAATGATTTATGTAATCACAGAAAAATGTAATTAATTGAAAAATAAAGTAATCATTAATTTACATTTAGTAAATGAATGGTAAAAAGTAAATAATTTCAAAATTCATATTGTATGGAAATGTACATAATTTATGTGATTATAAGATAATTTTTTATCTATGGTTATTAAGAAAATTGATGATTTTTCCAATTTTGACAGTGAATTACAGCAAAACAGTGATAATAGCAAATATGTCAGTTAGCACGTTGGAAAGCCCAACATTTATAGTTTCTAGTGCAATCTAGTAATCAGATACATATCCTACAGCATTACAGACCGGACTTATTGCACATAATTTATGTGATTATAAAATAACGTTTTTTTTTTCTAACTATTTAGTTTTTATTTGTCATCTATGGTTATTAAGAAAATTGATGATTTTTCCAATTTTGACAGTGAATTACAGCAAAACAGTGATAATAGCAAATATGTCAGTTAGCACGTTGGAAAGCCCATACATTTATATTTTCATAGTTACCAGTGCAATCTAGTAATCACATACATATCCTACAGCATTACAGACAGGACAAGGAGACATAAAAAAGCAGTTGCATTGGGAAGGGCAACAAGAGAAAATACTTGGAAAAAACATGAAAAAGAAATGACCACAGCTGAAGACAGGTCTACTGGTGGACAGAGACAGCCGAGTTTGAGAAACTCTGGTAGACAAAGACGTAGAACGAATGTAGACAATTTCGAAACAGAAAAAGAATAAAAGAAAAAGAGTAAAAGAGTAAAAGAGAAAGCCAGATAAATTGCTGGAAACAATTCTTCGAAGATACAGGATGCTCAAAAATACATAATTTTCGTGAATCACAATTAATTAAAATAAAATAATTTACAACTTCAAAGTTTTTACACTTATCCTTTCAAATAAACATGATTGGTGTAATCAATTGACTAATTGAAAAAAAAATAAAGTTTTCATTAATTCACATTTAGTAAATGAATGATAAACAAACAAATAATTTAGAAATTCATTGTGTATAGAAATGTACTTTCGAATTAATATAGTTTATGTAATTATGAGATATTTATGTATTTGCAAGATAAAGTTTTCACTATATCACATGAATGGAGAACATACATTAATTTGCAACTTTATAGTATTAATATTTGTACTTTCGAATAAATAGAATTTATATATTCTTCTATATTTCTTCTTCTTCCTTTCTCATTTAGCTTGTGCCGCGCACAATTTCGCCAGTTTCCGCCTCGTACTAAATAGGGACTAAATGTAACATATAAGATAGTAAAGTAATATAAACAATTTCCAAAAACTACGACCGCAACCAGACAGGCAGAGTAGAAGAGAAGTCTTGCAACCAATTATACAGAGCAAATGTTAGATCAAAATGTTGGATCTTCTTGAAAATTCCGAGAGGGACAAATACACGTCACGATTCCCATCAAAAGAAGGATGGAGGTAGGCAGTGGGACTTTGAGAGCTACGAGAGCAGTAATTAATTCCACACTGATGGCTGAGTTGTTGGGACAATCGAAGAAGCAATGGTTCACCGTTACTAAACTGACACAGGCACACAGATCAGAATCGGTCCAGCCCATCCTATGGAGATGAGCCGGAACGAGACAGTACCCCGACCTGAGTCTGGTGAGAATGGAAATGTCGGCTTTTTTCGTGAGTTTTAGTTCATGGAACCAGGGTTTGTACTTGACCGCTGGGAAGCGGTTGTAATAGGACTTGCCCTTCTGTGATCCCCTGATTTCATGCCAGGTCTGCCATCGGTTCGTCTATATTTAATTAAATTAAAAAAAAGATAGTTTTACGTAAATTCACCTAAAATTACCTAGATTTGTCTACGCAAAATAAATACATTGATTGCATTTATTTTATCCAATTTTATTAAGAAATATGAGAAATATTTCGTTTAGTACTATCAATCTAGCTGTAATAGATTTATAAGAACAATTTTCTGTCAACATCTTGTGGAATTAGATGATTGTAGTGACGAAGAAGAAATATTGTCATTTAGTAACATGAACAGTTCAAGTGACTCAAATAGTGATAGTGATGAAGAAACTGTTGGAAATGGACTGTATTCCAAAACATTTGTCATCATACATGTTTTGATATATTATATTTGTGAATATATTTCATTTCAGTAGTTAATTGATTAAACATTCAAATATACATAAAGTATATCTTCATATTTATTTATTAACTGGAAAAGATATTTAATAAATGAATTGTAACACGACGGATGCTTCGTGTATGAAAAAAATACAAATCTTGGGAAGATTCAGAGCGCCACTTCCTTTTATTGAGAGGAAGAACTCTAATAACTGTTTCCTTATGATCAGCAAATTTCTCCGATAGAGCATACAAATATATATAAAAAAATCTTCTTAACTGGTCGCCCTGAAATTTTGGAAGCATAGTTGCACCGTGTAACGTAGTTGCAGCGTTATTTACTTTACCAAGTTACAGAAAATTAAATGGAAAATAAAGTTTTCATTCATTCACATTTAAAGAATAAAAGGTAATCAGAAAATAATTTACAAACTTCGTATTTTTTTTAATTAAACATTGATATATACATAAAGTATGTATTTACGTCCATTTATTAACTAGAAAATGTAGTTTATAATAATTCTCATTTATAAAATGAGTGGAAAAAAGAAATTAATTGAAAATAAACATAAAAAATCTTTGAAAATATATCAAAGAAAACCTTACCAAATTTCACGACAAAAATCGATAATTATTACTATTACTTCATTAAAGAATACCATTTGTTCACAAAGTCATGGTTTTTAGAATTATATTATAAAAATTTAAATTAAATACTTAAAAACTAATTAATAATATCAAATTATTTTAGTTTCAAAATTTACTAAATTTTAACCAATCTATAAACTGCATAATAAACTACAAGATTGTATTTATTTGTTGTTGCTGTAAAATATTCTCCACTTATTCCAGTAATTTAATGGAATCAAATTTGCAAACAAAAAAGGGAAAAGAAAAAACGTTCCATGTAAATTAATTTATAGCAGAGCAGATTCAGTCCTTTTTTAATGCGCATCGATTTAGCTCAAACCCCTTAAATATGCAATGCGCGTCCGCTGCTCTCGAGACAACCCTTCAGACATACCAAAAAGTGCTCGAAAACAGAAACACAGAGGGTAGGAAGAAAGCAGACCCTTTGTTGTTTGTCCAACAAATCTGAATGCGAGATTCGGCAAATGCGATACAATAGATCCGTTATAGATGAATTCGATTCATTTAAAAAAAAAGAAACAAATCACCAATCCACTCATTGTCTGAACTCAGTACAAATAAACAACAACAAACGAAAAACGATAGAGAGAAAAAATATATGATGATGATGCTATTTCCACTGAAAAATTCCATGTGAGTTTTGTTCTCGTTCCGCGCAGATATACCGACATATTTTGTTTTTTTCCACGATTGTTATGCAAGAGCAAATAGCTGCGAGTATTCACAACGGTGTACGAATCATAATCGTTTTGTCCGGTCTGTTTGATAATCATTTTCGGTGTAGGTAAATGAAATTCCGACGCCGTTTTTGACGAACCGTTTTTATTTACATATTTGTATTCTTTTTTCGGATACAAAAATGATCGACAATCAAAAAATAATAATAAAGCAAAAACAGAAATAAGGGTGGTTACCACAAGTGCAAAGAATCGATTTAACACGTTAGTACTACGGATAGGTCAGAGTGACCCACCTAATATTTGTTTTTAATTGCATTCTATTGTAATTTTATTGTGTGAGTTGAATTGCTAGTTATTCTACTATTTTGTATTACGCTTTTCAATTTATTTAATTGTAGAGCTTCGGGTCAAAATGACCCGTCTACAGTAATAAATACGCTCTTGAATGTTTATTTTTTTTTGTCCAAACAAGAAAGACAAGAAATCAACAACGTGATATCTATTTTCATTCACATTCTATTGTAATTTAATTGATCTTCTAGTCATTCTAGTAACCTAGGGGTCTCCATTGACGGTAGCCTGACCTACGCTGAGCATATCAGAGCAGCAGAAACAACTACAGCTGTAAGCAGGTTGATATACAACAAGGGTGGACCGAAGTCTAGCAAGAGAAGATTGCTAGGAGTAGTGGCACAATCTATTATGCTGTACGCTGCTCCTATATGGGAACAAGCAATAACAGTTCTAAGGTATAGGAAAGCGCTAGAAACGGTCCAACGGAGAGGAGCAATTAGGATATGCAACGCGTATAGGATAATTTCCCGAGACGCAGTGCAGGTGATAGCTGGTGTGTCACCAATAAAGCTCCTTGTTCTGGAGAGTTGTGAGAGGCAGTGGCGCGACCAAAGCGGATGCTAGAGCCAGACTGCTTCAAAAATGGCAAGATAAATGGCACAGGTCGGAGAAAAGAGCCTGGACTCGGCGCCTAATCTTGCAAATAGAGCCTTGGTTAAGCAGAAAGCACGGTGAAACAACATTTCACCTGAGCCAGGCGCTGTCTGGACATGGATGCTTTGGCAAGTACCTGCACTTCATCGCGAAGAAGAAGGATGAAAGGTGCTGGTACTGCGAGGAGGACGATAGCCCTGAGCACACGCTATTTAGGTGCTGCAGATGAGTTGGAAGGAAGCACGAGGCGGAGGCAGAATTGGAAGTTCTGCTAGAGCCAGCAAATATTATCAGTGAAATACTGAATAGTGTGACAGCTCGAATATTGTATCAGCGTACATATCAGAGGTGCTATTAAGCACAGAAGAACAACAGCGGAGGCTGCAGAAGGCCTACGAGGATAGTGGCAGTGGAGGCCAGCATTAATGATGTAGGTGAAGTGCCAGAAAGGCAATGACAATCAGCATCGCAGAGTGGTATAGTAATACAGGTCCTGCATGCTGGCGAAGAAGGGGAGAGGTTTTAGTGCGGTAAGAATCCCACAGTACCATGACTCCACCCGTGGTCCCTATGTAAGGTTTCCTCACCTCTACAAAAAAAAGTCAAAGCAGTCGTGACGAGGTACTTATTTTATTGTAGAGTATATTTAGGGTCAAAACCTATAGCAAATACGTTTATGAATGCAACATAATGAACGAATACAAACATCCAAAAGAAACAGCAACGTTTTGTGACATATGCAAAATAATACTATTTATACTGCTTGCTCAAAAATGTGTCCAGACTAAGAGGAACTAATCTGTTTGTTGCAAAAATTAATAATTTGTTCTATTTTTTGATAATTACTAAACGGGTCATTTTGACCCACTTGTGTTTCATTTATGTTTAAGTGGTTGTTACGTGTTAAAGTAAAGACAATAAAAAATAAATAAAATAAGGGTAGTGTTTTTTACATGTACAAAGCAAAGTATGATCGATTAATACGACGGGAGGTCTGAATTTCGGACAATTGCCGCATAAATTTAGTTTTGCATAAAATATGATGACCCATTTACAATGTATGTGTATGAGGGGTTAGGGGGTCGAGTTGAGTTCATGCACATCCACTGTACGAACATAGCACATTAGCTTTTATTATTAATTAATGCAATATTTATATCATTCATTTTCATTAATATACCCGGAAATATTTACCCCCGGAATTATATAATGGAATGCGCTGCATTATTTATGCCGACTACCAAAACAAAGAACGAACGGTTGGTTTCCATGGATGCAAGCGTTTATCCGGATTTAATTAATTATTGCACATAGTAGTAATAATAATGACAGCATAAATTTGGACTACGGCAGTTGTTTTCTCCGCAATTACGCGGATCATAAAAAGCACGAGAAAACATGACAGAAAAAGAAAACGAATACAAGAAAAAGCAGACTCATCGAAGCGAATTGATTCTCAATTCATTCATAATAACGATCATTATGGTTATTGTAATTATTTTCCTAAAAAAATAAAAATAAAAACGTAATTATCTCTTGAAACTTGGACTTAATTGTTGCGAAATTATGCGCTTTCTTTTTTTACTGGTGTATGTATTTTTTTCTGTTAATTAACTCAATGAATGGATTTTCTCTTTTTACAATATTTCTTAATTATTAAATTCCGAAATTGTCCACAATAGCAGCATTTCATATTTAATTGCATCGAGCTCCCTCATTAGTGCGTATTTATAATACCCATTAATTGGAGACGATTACGTTCATTCAATTTCTCATGGTTTTTCAGCTTCAATTGAAATTCAACAACTCGTTTATTCACAATCATGCAAGTACTTACTAAATCGAAAGAACAAACTCAACGTTTCTTTACATTTTTACGAAAATTCACACAATGAAACGTATTTATTAATTACACAAAAATATGTATAAATTTGTAACGAATTTTAAATTATTACATTTATTGATTGATTAATAATATAATTAAGAAAATATTAGAACAATTACGTAATCAATATTTAAATTATACCATATTTTATATTAATTAATGTTAATTGTTAATAGCATTTCTGTTAATTATCTGGAAGTTGACAGATTCAAAGTTTAGTTTGTTTCGACATTGTAATTAAACTTTTTTAAAAACATTTCTTATATGAAGATGAAAATTTATTAAAAACAAACATTTTTACTTACACAATTTGTATATTTTTTTTTATAACTTAATTTAATTATTCTATACACTAAAAATCTTTGATGTATTATAATTTTAATAGAAATACAAATATTATTTCTGAAAAAAAATCTTTCTTTTATCCGAGTTTTTTTTTTTCATTAAACAATTTCGGTGAATCTTTTGGTATTTTATGTTAAAATAATGAACATTTTATAAAAAAAAATTAATTTATTTTAATGCTTGTGATTTTTCAACATTTAAAATTATTTACATTGAACCTGAAATTTTGTTTGTTTGTATTTGCAAATACTTATAGAATTTAGTTGAATCTGAAGTTAATAAAAAAGAAAAATTTTGAAATACATTAATTAAATAAGTAAAAATTTACATTTATTAATTACAAATTTTGTAAATCTCAACTAACCATTAAATTCATGTTTGGAGAGTATAAAAATAAAAACTTAAATTGGAAAAGAAAATATTTAACGTAAGTTTATTTTGTTACTATAATTGAAAGATATAATTTCTAAAAAAAAAAATGTATTTTGCTAACAGTTTTTCAGTTCTTTAGAAAATGTTTCTATTGTTGTTTCATTTTGGTAATTTTATTTAGATTTTCTATTCAATACTACAAGAAAATCGCAGTAGTTTCGAATTGTTTATAATAAAACAAAAAATATGTTTAAAGTCCACTGGATTTATCATATAGAAAACATTTGTTTTTTACCATTTTTTTTAATTACATAGATGACAATGATAAATATCAAATGGAAAAGTTTATTAAAAACTAATTTTTAGACTTTCAAATCGAAGTATGTAACTTATCAATGAATTATAAGGATATGTACTTAGGTTTTATATCAAAGAGGAAATTATTGCTCACAGTTGAACTGAAACCAATTCTGGTTCAAGAATAAAAAAAAGTAGAAGAATCAAAGACTCGGAGAGGACGTTCAAACTCTATGAATCCTTTGCTCGTCCGTCCTTGGCCGAAGACTCACAAAGCAAGAGAGAACAGAGCCAATTGGCAATTATTGCTTCTGGCATTGTTGAACGCGAAATGGCACGGACGCAAATTAAATTTTCTTTTGACGAGTCGTGCTCCTTTCAGCGGTCGCTGAAAAAGAGTGAAGTGAGGAGAAATGAATTCGTAGGGATGGAATCGGTCGGGTTCAGAGCGTAGGACTACGCTTAATTTCATCTTCCCCCAGTGTTTGTTGTTTGCACACTTAAAATGTTTCGAAACTCTTCTCCGCTACTGCTCGGCAAGTATTCACGAATATCCGCGATAATTACTAATTAAATTCAGCCAGGAAATACATTTTCATGAGCTTGTTACTACTTCATCCGTCTCCACACTGTAATCCACTTCATCCTGAAGCGCACATACATAAGGCCGCATAATTATGTTATATAAAAATCAATATAGAAAAGGCTCTCTCCTCTTTCTTTGTGTACGAGCTTTGCAGATTAAAAGCGAAGGCAAACTATGCGAAGACGTATTAGGATTGACCATAAACTTTACCGACAAAAAGGACTCTTTGAAACTTTGTCTGGTGTGGAGAAGGAAGAGGATGCATGCATATTCCTATAGCCGCTTTTAATGGGGCGCCCGTTGAAAATGGGATTATGTCCTCTTTTCGTGAAAAGCGCAAAATGGGGAGGGAATAAGGGGAGGAATTAAAAACCATTCATTTTTTTTGCTCTTCTTCTATTTCTTGCGTCCTCCGCTCTGCACAGCTCTCTTATTATTACAAAAAGTGATTTAAATTCAAATTGAATGCGGAGCTAAATTGCTTGTGGAAATCTAATTTGCAAGCAACATTTTCCTTCATTTTTCTTTATTTTCCAATATAATTTTTCTGAAAATGTTTACATATTTATTAAAGACCTCGTCCAGTCCTATGAAAAAAAAAAACAAAGAGAATGGAAAACATTCGTTGCTCAAAAAATGCAATAATTCATCAAATATGTTTATGTTTTCTAACTATTGTCCAAGTTTTACCATAATTACTCTAATAAAACTGGAATTATTTCATATCAAAACATTTTTTTATGATATCCAGAAATTGGATTTGACATTAGTTTAAAAGGTAAAATATTTCTTTATTTTTGTGAGATAATCCTTAAATTTTCTTCCTGAAATTAATGAATATAATTCATGATGAAAATAAATTAATCAAAAATTGTAAAATGTGGAGCATATAATAAAATACGAAATAAAAATTTGTGTAATTACAAATTTCCAAAATATAGATAAAATCAAAATATTCCGAAGGCAGGAAGAAATATTCCCTTTGGAAATATTTCTTGACATTTCTCAGAGTGTGCCATGAGGGTTTGCACTATAAGTTAAAAAAAAAGTGCATCCCAAACATTTCCAAGACATTTCCAAGTGAAAATAAAATCAAAAAGTGCTGGTAGTGCAAAGAAGACGATAGACCAGAACACACGATCTTTGGATGTTGCAGATTGAAGATGAAGCACGAGACGGAATCAAATCTCGGAGAAGTGTTGGAACTTGAGACGTACGTTTGTGAGATGCTGAAGAGACAAGAAAAGTGGGACATCATCACAAGATAAGCGGTGCTATTAGTCAAAGGAAATGATGAGCGGAGGATGGAGAAACGGAAGAAAGTGATAGTGGACATCCGTAGAAGCGTAGAGTTTGCTGCAACATTTTACTTCATTTTTTAAAATTTTCCAATATGATTTTTCTGAAAATGTTTACATGTTTATTAAAAACCTCATCTAGTCCTATGAAAAAGCAAAAAGAATGGCAAACATGTATAGCCAACAT